CCCATGCATCTAACATTGTAATTAACAAGATTGTTGTATCAAGTTAGTTGATCATATTTGGGTTTTTACACGTGTTAGTTTTCTTTTTAATTAGAATTTACTTTGTGTTAAAAGAATCTTAAAACTCATATATTCGTATTATGAATTGGATTATAAAACAACATATGTACACATTTACAGATATTTTGATAAGCCACATATATACACATTTACAACATATATATAAGTAACTATATAAGAAAAAGTAATTATTTGGACAACGTGATATAACTTTATTGAAAGTAAAAGAATCAACAATATAAATAACTAAGTGTTAGGATTCTCTCTATCTATGATTTCAATTCAATTCTTTTTATCTTATCTTCTATATATTAAAAGAAAAGCACTGAGATGCCACTTCTGCTTAGATGTCACTTCTTCAATTTTTCTCAGTTTTTTTGTTATTTAAAAATTCATTTTTTCTAAACCATTTACCAAACACTATTTCACTTGCTATACCTACTTTAGTTGCTTTTAATTCAATTGCCAAACACATAATAAACATTAATAAATATTCAACTTTTTTACTCATTAAAAATTCAGAGATATATACGTGACTGACATTGAAAAGTAGAACATTTTCATATGACAATATTTTTATGACATTACAAATTAAAAAAACTTTAAAGAAACAAATATATTATCATATATTGTTGAATCTTGACTTTTTCGATAACAATTCTAACATGCTCAGTTGTTCTTCTCTAAATTTTAAATTTGATCATCATGTTTACTGCATTTGTCACTGAATTTTTCAAATTTAGTTAATATGATTATATAAAATTAAAAATAGTTTTTTAACCTTAGTTTATTAAACAACAAAAAAGTAGTATTTGAAATGATACCAAATTTTGTAGATTCTTAATTATACACCAAATAAATACTAAAAGTCAAAACGAAACTGAACATTATGCTTAGAAGTATAAAGTGAATAAAACTGAGCTGCAAAAAAAATTCAAAAATATACATTTATCTAGACAATTAGGTAGACATTTCCAAAATTTAGGATACTAAAACCAAATTTAATTGATTTTGTTGTAAAAGCTGAAAATAAAACCTAATAACCAAATCATTAGAAACAGAAATAGATATAACGTGATTGACAAATTCAAATGTTACCATATTTTTTGGGTGTCAAATATTTAGTTAGTTATGATTAATCAAATAAATCTAAACATTTGAAATTTTCAAAGATGTTAGTAGATAGTATTCATATGATTCAGTAAATCTCCATTTTACGTAAAGATAAGTATTTGTTTTGTAGTGCAAATTAAACATGATTTTTTTTTGTCTATTTGAATTAGAACTTAGAAGGATGAAAAATTACAAGACATTGTGAATTTCTATTGAAATTTATGATTTCTTCAAGAATAATGAAGATTTCAACAAAAACTCTGTTTTCGATTTGCAAAAATCAAAGATAGAGAGGTAAGTGAGGAGAATGCAAAGGAACAAGAGATTCACCAAGAGAGGACAATATTGTTTTCTTATTGCTAAGTTTTTTTTTTTTTGGCAGGGTTCTTATTGCTAAGTTAACTTTCTTTCCACATTACGTGTAATTTTAAAAAAAATTAAATAATTCATCTACCATGATAAATCAAATTAAACTATTTTAAAATCGAGCAAAACTACATATATCCAATTTTTTCAATAAAAAATGATATCAAGTTTTTAACATGTACACATTTAATTAAAATTTAGATGTAAAACATTTACTAAACTAAATTAACAGTGCAATTAAATCCGTGTAAAGCATAGCAACATTCATATATAAAATAATCGTAAATCGAATATTTACAATCCGATCTCTGATTTCACATAACAATTTTAATGCAATAATAGTGAGAATTAGTTTTGTAAATGGAATTGTAACAGTTTTAGTTTATAATTATTTTACCGCGCACAGCGCGGGTACTATCCTAGTTTTA